CAGATTTAAGGCCAGTATACACCTAATAATAATGGTTAAGCATAAAATAAAGATAACTTATTTGCACGTCAACGATTAGTGGGCCTTTTCTTTTGAGATGTATTGAAATGTCTAATGTCTCTTATTTCTGTCTGAGAAACACTTATTCCAAGAAAAGGTTATTACAACAACACTATAATTGCTCAAGGTTGTAAATTTGCTCATCCTATAGTGTATCTATGTACGTATTTTGAGTGTGCGAAAACATAATATTGTTCAAGTTCCATTACAAGTGACCAAGCTTTGCAAATACCTCTCGACCGTATCAAGGCCGCAGAGTTGCTTAACGACAGGCATTGTAGCAGGAACCTCCAACTGGAACGTTGAATCAGTCTCGTCTAGCGCTCCCCACGAATTACGCTGTTTCCTGGCCGCCTCAATGGCTGCTCTTGTAGCACAGTGAACTGATGCTGCCAGAAGCAATGGCGGTTCACCAGAAGCTGTCAAGAGGTAATTTGGTCTTAGCAAACAAATACTACAACCCGTCTTGAGTACTGTCGCTGAGTACTGTTTGGAGGGACGAAAAAACGACGAAACTGTTACATGGGAACACAAACAACATACCTTTGGACGAGAGAACACGGTTTCGGTGATGTCCACTATTTAGAACCTCAACATTGAACTGTTTCGGTATAGTGTCGATGGTTGGGATCTTGTAAGTCCATGTGCTGTCTGAAACCACCAGGCCATCTGTATTTGTAATGTACTCTTCAAGCATGAAAAATCCAATTCCTTGTACAAAAGCCCCTTCAATCTGTAAAACATTGTTGAAAAAATATTTATAATAAGAACCTAAAGATTCACTGCAAATTTCAATGAAAAGTACTAAGCACTCCTAATCAGTCGCGAGAAGTAGAATACGAGTAGGCATTTATAAAGATATCGGCTTAGAAGTATGCAGGGTAGAATAATGAAAATGTGAGCTGAACTGAACGAACCTGTCCCAAATCGACGGCAGGGCTCATGCTCTGTCCACAATCATAGACAATATCTGTTCTCAATATTCTTGTTTCTCCGGTCAGAATATTTATCTCTACCTGCGGTATACATGGATTTATTATTTGTTAACGTCGTCTCACTCAAGGGGTAATCTGTGTCTCAAATTCACATGATGTAACTGGATCCTTCTTAATCGCCCCAGACTAAAGGAAAAAGAAGGTTAAAAGAGAAATGTACCTCACTGACTGCAGCACCATAATTCAAGTACTGCTGAGAACTTGGCATGGGTACAAAGAAAGAATGTGCTGCTAAGTTTATTGATTGATGATGTGCCTACATTCAAAAAGAAGACAAAAATTATGCCAAAAATTTTCTGACTTTCGAATCAAGATTTTTCAAAGAAGACAAACCATGCATTTTTGAAGAGAGAAACTAACAAGAGGGAATATTTTGGTCAGAATCAATATGATTCCAAGTTCCAAGTACGTTTCAAAATTCAACTTCACAGGTTTGAATGATGAAATAAATCAGACAAGTTTCCAATGCAACATGCTTATGGAAGATATGCCAAGAATTATGATAATAAAATAGTCTGCAATGAGGTGAAGTTCAGAATCAAGATGGATGTATATAGAAGTTTAGTCGCAAATTTCCGACAAAAAGGAAGAATTTATTTAAACTGAAGAAATTCAAAACCTGAAGAATCAGATCATCCCATTTTACAGAACCCATTTGCTCTTGCAACTTTTTCTTAAGAGGGGCTAGTCTTTCAACCAAGACATTGCAGCATTGTCTGACAGCTTCACAACTTGATTCTGATGTAGTGCTCCCAGCAGTAAATCCTCCTTGCACCAAGGCCAAGGTGTCCGACTGTATAACTCGTACTTTCTCAACTAGTTCTTCAGTTCCGTCGCATTGGATTGAACTAAGAGCATAAGCAGTTATTTGTTTAACCTTTGTCCAAAGCCCTTGCCCCAGTTCTATCCCTCCAACTTCCACAACAATGGATCCATCCCAAAGAATGCTAACTTTACCTGGGGTAGGTCTAACAAGCACTTCATGGATAATTGGTACTCGAGAAATACCCCTTTTCCGCCAAATATGGAGCTGATTAAATTGTTCTACTGTTGCAACTCTTTCAGTAAAACTCGAAGATCTGGCCACCTTATCCCAAATAGAGGGCAAAGTATACTCCATTGAGTCCCCGGAAGCACTCCCATAGAACAACAATAAACTTTCGTATGTGTGAAGATTTTTTTCCCGGACAGAATCCACTTCGATTGACAGCATACCAGCAACATGTTCCATTATAGCTTCAGCAATATAAGATGCCTGCACCTCCCCTGGCCCCCTCATAGCCGATTTGCTAGTAAGGTTTGTTTTGCATACCTTTATATCAAAAGACAGAGAACCCCAGTCATACTTTTTAAGTGCGCCTATAATATTATTCGGCATTATGGGGCTTATATCTATAGTATTCCCAGCATTAATTAGTATGTCAAGGTGCAGAGCTGTGATCTTCCCATTGGATTTAAATCCAACACTGTAAGTTATCTTCATGGGATGTCTTCCTCCTGCCATTATCATGTCCGTCTTACGATCTAGATATATTCTAACTGGGCGACGTAATTTATGTGCTGCGAGTGCACATGCTGTAGCAACCTGAAAATCATAAACAACCAAAAGATGAATAGAGCATGAAAACCAAATCAAATCTTAACATAGACCTAAAACACATGTATGGCATGCAGCAGTCAACATAACGATGGACAAGATTTTAGCTTCTTTTTTCCTTAATCCTGTCAAGTGCTGTCCATTCTCCATATAAAACATGCCAGCAGTATTAATCGATTTATAATACTGTCAGTTTCCTCAAATCTACCTGAAAAAGATTTAACAACAAACACAGGCTATATAACCCTCCACCTCCCAAAAACATGAACAAATAAGTGTACTTCAATAGAAGAGAGGAAGAGAGGAAGGACTGAAGTTCATGTTAATATATATTCAATACTCACAGGCATTGCTTTTAATGCCTTTCCACCAAAGCCCCCACCAACTCTTCTCGTAATAACACGGACATTATGCTCCGGAACTCCGAGACATCTTGCAATTACAATATGTGCAAACTCAGGGCACTGAATCGAACTATAAACCACCATGCAATTTTCTTCATCTGGAACTGCAAGTGCAGTTTGTGTTTCCATATAGAAATAGTATTGCGAGCCAAGTTTAATCTGGATATCACATTTAGCAATTGGAAAAAATAGTTAACGCCTAGCATTCATTAGATAATGCAATATGCAGTCGAAAAAATTAGTACACTTGCTCAAATATATAAGAAGAGCATTGCCGAGAGATCTTTTTGTATAAAGCAGAAGCATCCAAATAAATAAAGGTACCTCAGCATTGAGAATCTTATGATCAGCTTCAGCCATTCCTTCAGAGAAATCACCAACTTTTTCTGGATATAAGAAAGGAGGAACTTCAAAGAAACTTGATCTCTTCACAGCCTCTTCAACGGTTAAAATGGGAGAATCTAGACTCTCGGTATCATAATCAACCAGAGCTGTTTTGGCAGCCATATTTGCGTGCTTTTTTGCCTCTGCAACCTAGAGAAGATTTCATGTATACATTTCAGTAAACAATCCACAAGTTCGTGTTCAGTAAATTTCAGCTTCATTAACATAAGACATCCTAATCTAGCAGAAAAGCTTGGGAGGACTTACCACAAGAGCAATAAGGTCACCAGCACAAGTAGCAAGATCATCAACGAATAAAGATTCGGAACCAAACATGGCAGTACACCCTACATTTTCTCCTCCTTTTGGGATATCTTTTGAAGAGATAACATCAGTAACCCCATCTGGTAGTGAATTAGATTTGAAGGAAATTCCCTTCACTCGTGCTAAAGGCTTGGTGCTGTAGATAAATGCTCCGTGCAGGCAATTTGGAGGTGATGGAATATCATCCACATACACAGCTTCACCTGCAGAATTGGACAGCATAACTTAAATTATTTCTTACAGGAAACTAACCGTGAGTCATGATTGAGGCATTGAGCAAAATTATTAAGATTAAAATAAACGGGGCACAACAAACCAGAAGCTTGAATGGCGGCACCAAATTTTGTCATCGGTTCACCTACTGGATAGCACTCTTTACTCGAGTCCACAAACTGTTTTCCAGATGACAGCAAAAGATTGCTATTATTGATGATTTCAGCTTCTTCCCGTAATGTGTTATCCAATCCATGAGCAAAAATCTTGTAATCAATCTCAATGAAGCTAAAGAGAAATTCAAAGAGAAAACTGCCAGCTAAACTTGACCGGTAAGCAGCATGTGAAGTGCCATCTTCAGGTACCACTGAGCTTTTTACCAATTTGACTGCTTCATTTAGTAAACTAACACCAACTAAATTTCCAGATAGATACTCCTCGACTTTATTTGCCCTTGTTGCGTGCTTTGTCCCATAAGCACCAAAAGCCAATCGTACATTATTGACTAGAACTTCACTTTTATTGCAAGAAAGATCAGCTAAGAAGGCAGCATTTAAATAGGGTAATGCATTACCAAGAGGTCGTGGTGCAGCACGATAAGTTTCAAATAACAACCTAGAATTCGATTCTATTGTTCCATTGCTTTTTGTTTGTTTCCAATATGGGATGTGAACATTTAGAAGCACACTTCGGGAATCCAATGGTGGCCTCGACAAGAATTCTTCCATTGTAATTTTTTCACAGTCATGACCTGTCAGTATGCTGACACTAGAATCTACAGCAAGAAGTAATGTAGCAACGTCGGAAGGAAAATTATTCCTCTGCGACATCACCAAATTACCCCCTAGACTTGCTGAATTCCTTATGAACCCTGAAGCAATTTTCTCCATATGGTCAGCGAGTTTCGTAAAAATCAGTTTTCCTTCCGAGCTTAAGTTCTCTTCATTTTCTTCCTTTAAACTGAAAATAACTTTGGAAATGGATAAAGCTGCTCCAAATACAATGCCCGAGTTATCTTTTATAACCACTGAAAGCTGGGGGATATATCTCAGATCAACATACTTGTCATACTTTTCTGTTTCTTTGTAATAACCAGTGCCTGTGTTGCCAACAACTAGCTTAATTTTCATACCATTTTCAGACACATTGGGATACAACAAGGTTTGGAGCTCCTCAATAGATGCAGGAGTGTACCATGAGTACAATTCAGAATTCAAAAGCATATCAGACTGGTTTTCCTCTCCGAAGAATTCAGAATAAGTACAATTATGATTCTTTGGATGATAAGTTGGTAATCTGCTCGCTCTAACTTCGTTCAAATCTTCCTTTCTCCAAAAAGAATTGATCCCCAGATCCTCCATGTCAACATCAGCAGCAAAACTTTTGCAGGCATCAGCTATAGGACGATAACCAGTACAGCGACAAAGATTTCCTGCTATAGCCTTTTCAGCTTCTGAAACTGTCAACTTGGAGAATCCCGGTGAAGATTCAGGCCGACTTGTTTTTTCAGCATCAACGAGAGCTGAGAATAGGGACATGCACATTCCTGGAGTGCAAAAGCCACACTGAGAAGCATGGAAGCCAGTAAACCTTTGATGAATTGGATGAAAACCATCTCTAGTATTTCCAAGGCCTTCACTCGTAGTAATTGAACAGCCATTTATGCTGCAGAGGAGCGTAAGACACGAACTCATAGAAAAATTCTCAATCTGCTTATTTACAGGGTCATACTTTGACATCAGAACAACGCAAGCACCACAGCCACCTGCAATAATCCAAATTTTCAAACAAGATTGTGTGTTCTTTAATTCCAAATTCTAAATTGCCCCAGTTTAATGATCTTACTCCAATTCCCAGAGAATTTTACACTTTCTAAACAGAAAAGATTTAAACAATAAAATAAAACAGACTGTTATAATCTTAATCATTATCAATCCCAAAACAACATATTTAAAAGAACACAGATGCCTACCTTCACCACAGCCAAGTTTGACACTCTTGAAACGCGTACGAGAGCGCAAGAACTCGAGTAAAGTAGTGGAAGGATCAAGATTTGGGACTTCAAATTTCTCTCCATTTACTGCAAAAACCAGGCACTCATTTCTCTTTGCTGGTGTTAAGGTCTCCATTTTTGCTGATCACTGCAAGTTGTGTTGATTTTAGAAAAAGAAGGCGCGGGGCGGGCCGGGGGGGCGG